TTTCTTATCGAGCCCTGATCTATGCCGAAAGCCTCTTTAACTCAGCGGCATCCCTTTGCGCTAACATTAGAAGGACCGATATACATGCGTAGTATATTTTGTAGATTCATCATATGTGTATATATATATATATTTTTTATGTGTGGACGCATAGGTCGTGCACGACTGTCGCTTTCGTAACAGCCTCACCTCCGATTTTTATGTCGAATTGTCGTGTCGCATGATAAAGCAATATAAAAATAGAATATCAAGTTTTCACGTTTTGTTTTTGAATGCTTAAAATAATTTTTTTGCGTTACTATTTTTTGCATTAATATTAATTTATTTAATTGCGAATGCTTAGTCTGAATCTACAAATAGAGCAAGAAATATCCATTTTTTAGTCATATCAATAATATATCCAAATTCCTGAGATCGAAATAGAGAAACTTGAGTCACCTACCACCGAATTTGAAAGGAGGGCTACTCCTCCTCTTCCACATTCACGCTTGTTTTCATCCGGAGACCCTAAACCGGGGGGTCCGTCAACTCGGGAACAAACACTTGAAATGGATATAGAGGAAATCAAAGCTCTTCCCCGTATATCGTCGAATATTCTTATGCCAATCAATTTTCGGCTCGTAATTAGAACTTGCCGCCCCTTGTTATTTTGGATTAACATTCATATACATTATTCTTGTTTGTTAAATAAAGTTCATATGTTTTGATTCTAATTAAAACCCTATTTGTTTATTTCTCTTTCACCCCGCGTATCCGCGACAAGTCTTAACAGGGCCTATACCTATTAACAAGCCCTGCAAGACTCACGTCCTTTTAACGTAAAGGACCCTTCACGCGCCCTTGACCTTGACATCCGCGAAATGATTTACCGCTTGGCCCCGCGAGTCAATAATAGGGCACGAAAACCCGCATAATATTCCATAACAGCTTTTATCTAACTTCCATAATGAAATATCTCCAAAAACACACGAAACCCAGGACGTGATAAATTGACATATTTCATAATCTTACAATAATATTTATTAGTTTTATCAATATAAATTTAAAATTTTGTATTGTAAATACTGTTGATCACACGATCTGTTTTAATCAGACATAAAACGTTTGAAATTATATTTATGTTATTTATATTCTTTATATTCTATATATTCTATTTATATTATATTTATATTTATTTATATTTATTTATATTTCTATTTATATTTATATTATTTATATTCTTTATATTATTATTTATATTATTTATTTTATTATTTATTTTATTTTATAAAAGAAATTTTCGCATTAACTTCCTGCGACGTCTTTTGTCGGTGCTGTGTTATTATATTATATTTGTTATCATATTTTTTAACACATTAAAATCAAGTAAATCAAGATCACGCCGGTCAGACCGCGCCCATCAGTTTGTGCCTTCGCGAATAGGTTTACCGCTCGGTTTCGCGAACAAAAGGATGGACTCTTATCTCTCTGCCTATCATCCACGCCGAAATCACCGCGACCACCTCCGGTCTCCTCCGTCGCTTAGAAAGTCTCCATCCCCTTCTATACGTACGAACTGCCAATCACGATAAATCCCGGACGCCACAACTGGTGTTTTTTAATTTAAATCTTTTAATTTTAATGAACTAAAAATTTATTTATTTTTTAAATTTTTTACACACATCAGATAACAATGAGACATTTTTTCTGAATCAGCATTTGAATTTGGCAACGATCTGTTTTTGATCCGTTTCAACGGAAAACACAACACGTTCAAAATTATATTTATATTATTTATATTATGTTACCTATTTATATTATTATTTATATTGTTATTTATATTATGTTATTTATTTTATTTTGTTTGTTCTATACTATATAATATTTGTTAACACATTAGATAAATCAGATAAAATCGAAAAAATGGAGGCTCAAAGGTGGTGTGGAAGACTACTATTAGCTATTATAAAACTTTTAATTAGAAAGGTGCGCGTGCATGTGTGTGTATGTGTGTGTAGAGACATTTAGTAAATAATAAATAAATTATTAATAAATAAATACCTATCGAGTCTTCCAATCGGATGCCTCTGCCTAGACCTGAAACAAAAGAAATAAGATTAGTAAACACATAAATATACAATTAACAAACATTTTTCTATTTAATAAAACTAATTACTAATTGACAAAATATTAAAATTAAAATGGCTGTCTCACTTAGATGCCCCGTTCACGCCGCTCTGGCAAAGCGTGCAAAATAAAAAGAATAAAACGATTGTTACTCGCTGGAACGCGTCACCTCCACTGCCAGAATAATTCTAAATTGAGAATTCCAATTCCAATTCCAAAAAACACTAGTTTATTTATATGTTATTAGTTATATATTATTATATAAGTTATATGTTATACAGAGTGTCTCAGCGGGACAACCGCTGTGTACAGCGTAGAGCGCGTTAAACTGAAGCCATAATTTTGAGTATAGTATATTACTGTATATTTATATTATATATTATTTATTTTATATTTAATATTTATTATTTATTTATTTTATATATTTTTCTAATTGTAAATTGATTTTATTTAAAGATTTTATTTAAAGATTTTTTATTTTCTTGAAAAATTGAATATTACA